ACATATACGTAGGCAGAATTATTTCATTCTACAGTTTTATTAAACTAACTATATTAAAATTGAGTTATTTGAATTTCCCACACAAGTCTTCTTGCATATATATTTTTCCTTTCTTTTTTCCCCCATAGTTTGATTAAAACAGTTAATTGTTCACTTCTAGATTCTAATTGCTAATTTATATCATCATGTTTAAAAGACATTCAGGGAATAATACTAGTTCAAGGCCCAAGCATAGATGCTAAGCCTATTGCCAATCTGAAATTGTAAAACATCACCGACATTCACTGTAAAAGCCATAACTGAGTAAGTCAAGCTAGGCATTCTAGAGCATTCTACAGATATAGCAAACAAGATTGCTGAACTCATGGGATCTGGTCAGAAATATCCACACCCACAGAACAACTTTGGGTTTTGAATAAGAATCAGCCTATTGGAAATGGACAACTGATACATTTGTTTTAAAGAAACAACAACAAAAGAGGAAATCCTGCCCTCAATTTGCATGTTTACATCTTTCACTGTGATTTGCACATGTATGTATTTTGCTGTGTTTTTGGTTTAAGGACATCTGTAATCCACAAGCCCTACTCCCTAGCTAGCTGTCTTTCAGCCCAGTATGGATAATAAGGTAAGAAGCAGTATGCTAGGTGTGGTCCCTGGAAAAGCTCCAGCTCCATGAGAAAAGAGGGCATCTTTACCCTCTGCTCCTTGCAATGGAGAGTAGGTGCCTGGAGCTGCATCAGCCACCATAAGACCATTAGGTACCAGGAATGAAGGTGCAAGCAAGCACTATTAAGTGCAGAGCAGAAATGAGGCAGAGGGCACCCTGATGCCACTGTGGAGCCTCCGCGCCAACCATTTCCTGCCCACCTCAACGCTTCTTTATATTTGAGACAAACCCTGATTTGTTTAAGCCCCTGCTGTTTGGGCTTCCCCGTACTTACAAGCCTATTCCTACAGTCTATTGCTGCCACTGACTGTTGAAGGAGTTCAGAGGACATCACCCCAAAATATGCCACTCCGGTGTATTGACTTTTGAGATAAAGGTACTTGAAGAACAACAAATACAGGAAAAACACTCAGTCCTTCTTTCTTTTTCTTAAAAGCAGGATATTAAATTGCTATGTGAAAGATGTATTCCCTGTATGAGAAGGAAGGTAACATTTTTATGCCCAACAAGAGCAAGAAATTGAGATGGAGAGAATTCTACGTAGGCTGACCTTGTTAAAATAATTCATAGCTCCCTTCAGCCTCTCCGTGTAGTTTAGTTGCTTTTCTGCACCTGCCTCTGATCCTTTTACCCACTATTATAGCAAGTAGATTTCACTAATTCTTTGGGTCTTCGTTTCCTTATGGGGGTTGCCATGTCATGTAACACTTAAATAAATGCGCTTTTTCCTGTTAGTCTGACTTTGTCAGTTTAATTTTCAGACCCAGCCAGGGACCATAAAAGACTCGAGGAAAAATTCTCCCTCTCTGTTGATCAAATTGTATCCATAAGCATAATAAAGTTTGCCCACATTTTCCAATAAAATTTTCCCAAAAAATGTATTTTTAGCTCAGATCGTTTGGATTTAGTTTATAAGTAAAATAAATGTGAAATAAATAAATGTGAAATGTGAAATGTGAAATTTAGTTTATAGGTAAAATAAATGTGAAATAAATAAATAAATGTGAAAAAGAAGCTTCTGAAAAGAAATTGAGTGTATATTCCTTCCAAAAAATGCATTTGGGAGCTATCCTATATGTTATTATTATAAATTAGGTAAAACACAACTGCTTAAAAACGTGTACGATATATAAAATTTTCAAAGTCTATTTCACCAAAAATGTGAAAATATTGGAATAAAATATGGTAGAAGCTTTATTAAGGAATTTTCAACTTCACAGATTTGTAAGTAATACCAAGTAACTGTAGATAACTACTAAAATCCAGAAAGTATGAGCTTATCTGTAGTCATACAGCTAAAGAAGTCTATTTATAATGAGATATGTAACTTACATGTATAGATTTTTTTTAAACTACTCTTGACAAAGTTACATTTAGAAAAGGGGGAAAAAAATACAAGAACATCAAAAAAAGTTCCCTCAACTGTGTCTACAACACATCAGCAATGACCACTAGAATATTAGCCCTCTTCTCCCCTAACCACATTTTGAAGATTGCAGGGAGGTGGTTTTTTTATGATGAAATCAAATTATATCTTCTCAATCTGTTTCACACAAATTGCTGGTAATCATTTTGATTTAAGAAGAGTCCATCCACCTGGGGTCACTGCCCATTAAATATCTTTCTTGAAAACCATAACCATTAAGGTCGAATGGTTAGTTTTACCATAACTCTACAAAGGAGTAAGTTTAAACATACAGATAAGAAGAATGCTATCAAAATGTGAGACAGTTGTGATTATGTAATCACTTTCTCCTTCAGGAACCTGCTATATGTACCCATTTGTAAGTCCATCCCTAACATTATATAAATAATGGAATTAACTTAAGAAGCTTTTTTTTTTTTTGATTCCTTTCTCTACTAGTACTCTCAATACAAACTTTTGAAAATAAAACACCTTCACTTAAAAGGATCATAATTTTAAAGCTGAATGAGACCTTATTGATCATACGAATGAAAATGTGGGGGAGCTGGAAATGCTAAATGACCTGTCCAAGGGGTCTGACATACACAAGTAACCAGAAAAAAAAAAAACAAAAACAAAAAACGCTCTCCAGATGCCTGGGTGGCTCCAGTCGGTTGAGCTTCCGACTTCAGCTCAGAACATGATCTCATGGTTTGTGTCAGCTGTGCTGACAGCTCAGAGCCTGGAACCTGCTTCGAATTCTGTGTCTCTCTCTCTCTCTGCCCCTCGCCTGCTCATGCTCTGTCTCTCTCCCTTTCCTTCAAAAGTAAATAAACATTGAAAAAAATTAAAAAAAAAAAAAGAAAGAAAAATGCTCTAGAAGAAATTAAACCACTATATTTAACCCATAATTCTCTGTTTTTGATGTGGAGAAACCCATAATCAGTGGATTGACACTATACCAGATATCTTAATATACTATTTATTTTCTATCTGTTCTCTTGTCTAAGGAATGATTTTTAAAAGGTTCCTAGCTATTATCACTGCCATTAACATCTGATTTGTAACCTGATGTATCCCAAAGCTGTGCATTATGTTTTCTTTTTTTCTTAAAAATTTTTTTTTTCCAACGTTTATTTTTATTTTTGGGACAGAGAGAGACAGAGCATGAACGGGGGAGGGGCAGAGAGAGAGGGAGACACAGAATCGGAAACAGGCTCCAGGCTCTGAGCCATCAGCCCAGAGCCTGACGCGGGGATCGAACTCACGGACCGCGAGGTCGTGACCTGGCTGAAGTCGGACACTTAACCGACTGCGCCACCCAGGCGCCCCTGTTTTCTTTTTTTCTATTCTAATAGCTGACCTGAGTGCTCCTTGCTTATTTTACTTCACTCTACTGACACCCCTTCCTCCATGCTGAGTAATTCCTCAGGATCCTCCCTCCATTATTTCCTGGCCAAGTTACCAATTAGTCTTCCACCATACAGCAAAGCCTTCACTTATTGTCTTCTTGAGACTCCCATTGCCTTCTTCATGTAGGTCTAACCCAGGCACACTCTTAATCAAGGACACCTTGATTAATCCTTAATCAAGGATTAAAACTTAATCTCAGTTTTGTTTTTCTTCACACAGCTAAGTACTTTGTCCTGGCCACACTATTTACTCAGACTGTCCTGTATACAGCAAAACCTTGGAATGTGAATAACTTCTTCTGCAGGCATTCCCCAAGATGGGCAAACATTTCTAACAAATTGTAACTTGATAAATGAGCGACATCTTGTAATACTTGAGTGGTACGTGATGCTGAATGTCACATAATCACAACTGAGCCAATGGTTCTTGAAATTTGCTTTGATAGACGAGTGCTTTGGATTACAAGCATGTTTTCAGAACGAATTATGCATGCAAACCAAGGTTTTACTCTATTTTATTTTCTACATATAACTGTTCTACCTAATGTTTGAGAAATGGCAAATGGCTTATTATTGGCAGATGCATCGATTAATTTTCTGAGCAATCCTCTTCAAATAAGTGTGAGGAGAGCATCATATGCCCCCAATCAACCTACCATACAGATTAATCAATTAATTTCAAGTCAGGTGGAGCTATGCTGCTATTGTAATTGGGTGAGCCTCACCTATGCTCCCAACCTGAATTTGAAATTATTTCCAGAGAACAGTACTGAATTGGCCTATAACGTGCTGAGTTGCCTATAAGCATCTGACTAAACAGGAAACTACTCCGTGCCATAGAAATGTTGAAAAAAGTCTAATGACCTGTTAGCAACAATTGAAATGTTACAGTGTTTAAAAATTAGAACAGTAGTGGTTGTAAGCAAGGTGGTTTAAAGAATACAGTCAAATGATTTTAAAACACTCCAGAAGGACTAAACAAAATTTATCCTGTCTGGAATTATGGGCCATGTAAAGCACTTCCATCACCAAGGATTAGTCAGGACCCTGAGTGCTGCTTACAAATGACCTGTGGAATCAGTCAACTTGGTTTCCTAAGTGCTTCAAGACATTTATCTGCAGTCCCCCCACCCCCACCAAAAACTGACATTAAAGGGAACAGGCTGCGATAGGGTAAAACAGCCAGGACACATTTTGGGACGCAGTGCAGGTGATCCTGTTCATGGACTGCATTCTAGGCTGTTAGACTTCAATTTCCCCACGAGTTGGGTAAGAATGTCAATCACAAATATCTATTCTGTTCCTAAGAGATTCAGAGTATACGCTCATCTATTAAAAGAGTGCATTGGAGAAAAGACCACTTCTCCAAGTAATTTAAGGAGCTGCTCCTCGTGAAAGAGATTATTCCTGGACTCAGGATGGTGATACATTGTTTCGGAGTATCGGACTACAAGTCTCTCAGTTTCTCCAGCACTGTGCTTACAACCCTTCGGTCCCCAGGCCAAGTACTCACCCCATCCGGCCTGCCATCGGAAGCAGTGACGATCAGAATGTAGCGATCCGTGCTCTCCCTGTCCAGGGCTTTCCCTAAGGTTAGAATCCCAGTACTAGTGACAGAGAAAACAAACAAACAGATAAGACACACAAAGATCTTTTGTCACAGGGAGTCTTCCTCCCATCAGGAACTACTCTTGACAGGTTTTTCCCCTTCAGCAAATGTAGCCTGAATATTTAAGATGCCTGATTCTAGGATTCATGTTGATGATTAAAAAAACCCTTTAAGGCTGATGAGCTTATTAGTGACAATGAAAAACCCCCAAACTGAATGAGATAACCGAGCTGATTCTCCAGCCTCCAAGAGAAAAATAAAACTACTCTTAATTCATTTCGGGAAGAAAGATGTCTATCTTGTTTATGATTATTTCAAAGGTAAAAGACTTCATTAGTTGTTAGTAGTTTCATAATCCTTTGAATCAAGGAATGGTTTCTTAGAACTAATACATAGCATTCCTGTTCATCCTCACATATGTGCCCATACTGGAAATGCAAATATCTAAATTCTATCTTTGACAAATCCTAGTGATTAACATTTATTTTTTCTTCTTTCCCAGTTTCAAAACAATGGAGGCTCATTGTAGAAAATTAGAAAATATGCAGTAAAATGTTAAAACTTTCATGGGTATTAGGATTATTTTTGTAATATTTATTTTTATTCTCCATAGTAATCAGATTTAGATACATTATACTATTTTCCAAAGAGGATTCAGACCGCAATATTTTACATTCTTTTTTAGGAAACATAATTTTATGAGCATTCACTCTCCCATTTTATAATTTATAAAAAACAGACTTTTGTTGGATACACTAACAATTGTATCATTTTGTTATTCTTTTGAAATTTAGATATTTCTTTATTTTATTTATTATATATAATGGGAGATGAACAGCCTTTGGACAAATTCTCATAATTAGAATATTTTAATACTACTCCTTACCCTTTCACTGTTTAAAATCAATGTGTCCAAATAGTTAATACTTTCTTCTCCAATGTAATTTGTCTTATAACAGTTTGGTTACTTCTAATCCTCTCTAAAACAAATCCCCAAATTTTTATCTTAGATTTTACAATCTGACATCTGATATGTGACATTTTAATAAAGGCCTACCGAGTATCTATTGTGGAGGAGAGGTTATATTAATATAATAAAGCATTAAAATAGTTATTCAAGCATAAAAACATAATTTGTTTCTGACTGATAGAAGGCTTTCACATTTTGACACAAGTGCTTTTATTGTTACAGCGGAATTTAAGCAATTCACATCATACATGGTAGTTGGGTAAAAAACAGTTAACACCAATGAATCAAAGTCAGAGTCACGGTTACTCTATTTGCTTTATTTTATTGTTGTTGATCGAATGGACTTTAAAAAGTTCTAGCATATGGTATAACTATAGAAAACGAAGTTTACTAGTGGTACATTTTTAAATGTTTCGTCAAATAACTGACAACCCAGAGTTGTTCATAACAATGGCTTTTGGATGAACTTCCCACACCTCAGATGGTTCAGATAATCTCATTCTAAAATGACTTCAAGACAAAAGTAAGACATTATTGCTTCTGAGACTTACTCACAAGCAACTTAAACAGAAAATCTGAAAGCCCTAGCCATAGGACAATGAAAGAAAAAAGAAAACTGAGTTATTGCTTTCTGTTTTTCCCCTTGGTTTCAGGTTCTAATATCTATGTTCTTCCTTGTACATTAAATTAGAAAATCTCTAGAAATTTATATAGTATCCCCATTTATAGCCATATTATAATTAAACAGCTAATTTTTAATGGTCTGGTAACTGTTGCAAAGATAGCTCTTTGCTCAATACGATGTGTGCCTTGTGCCCAGTGCAGTAGGCAATTGGGCAGGATATTTGGGAGACGGAGAAGGAGAGAAAGGATAAGTAGTATCTTTTGGTATTTATAGCTGAAGAACTAGCTGATGGGTACACCTAAGCATGCTTTCCTGAAATTCCTGAAACAATTGGAAAGGGCGAGTGTTCCTACCAGCTGGCTGGAACTACAGTTCAGGATACACTGGGCTGCATCTAGGAATGCAGTAAATCTTGTACGTTCATATATTAAAAGTATGTAAGAACCGTTTATGTTAAAACAATAATAGTGCTACCTAAATTTTGCATGACTGAAAATGTATCGCACAGGGGTGACATCAGTGGTCTTGAAGATGGAAGCCAGCATCCCCAGTGCTACCCTTATCCACCAAGAATTGTGTTTGTAGGTCTGGGGGATGCCTGAAGGAATGATGCATGGTTCTTGCCTTTATTTCGTCTAACCCAGAACTTACTAGAGGCAGAAAAGCAGTGGGTTTTTCTAGAAAACACTGTAAGGCGGGGAGCACCCTGCAGTCACCTGAGGCTAAAGATTACAGATGAGGTGTACAATCGAGTGCTGGAGGCCTGGAAGAAAAGGTGGGCAGAGATTTTCTTGGGAAACCAGGACATTGAGAAGCACCCACATATACTGGGGAGTGGGGTAGCACTGAGAGTCCAGAGATAAACCCATGCATCTGCAGCCAGTTGGTTTTCAACAAGCATGAAGATTATTCAACAGGGAAAGATTCGTCTCTTAAACAAATGGTGCCAGGGCAAGTGGAGATCGACACGTGAAAGAATGACCTTGGACTGTCTTATTACACCATAGATGGAAGTTAACTCAAAACGAATGAAAAATCTAATATAAGTACTGAAATCATGAAACTCTTGGACAAAAACTTGGAGATAAATCTTCATGATCTTGGATTTGACAATAGATTCTTAAATATGACACTAAAAGCCTGAGCAGCAAAAGAAAAAAAAATAGGTATATTGGACTTCACCAAAATTAAGAATTTTTGGCATCAAAGGACATCACCAATAGACTGGAAGAAATATACAAAATGGGAGAAAATATTTGCAAATCCTATATCTGATAAGAATCTGGCTCAGCAAATGGATAAAGGATTCTTAAAACTCAACAACAAAAATACAAACAACTCAATTAAAAATTAGGCAAAGAGGGTCGCCTGGGTGACTCCGTCGGTTAAGCGTCCGACTTCAGCTCAGGTCATGATCTGGCGGTTTGTGAGTTTGAGCCCTGCGTCAGGCTCTGTGCTGACAGCTCGGAGCCTGGAACCTGCTTCGGATTCTGTGCCTCCCTCTCTGTGCCCCTCCCCCACTCACACTCTGTCTCCGTCTCAAAAATGAATAAACATCAAAAAAAAATTAGGCAAAGGACTTGAACAGACATTTCTCCAACAAAGATACACAAGTGAGCTAAAAGCACATGGAAGGATACTCAACATCATGAATCAGCAGGGAACTAAACCAAAACTACAATGAACTCCCATTTCACACTCACTAGGATGCATTAACAAAACAAATGGGAAAATAACATGTTGAGAAAGATAGAAAGGAATCAGTCGGAATGCTAGCACATTGCTGGTGGGAATGTAAAATGGTCCAGTCACTGTGGGAAACAGTCCGGCAGTTCCTCAAAAAGTAAACATAAAATTACAGTATGACCCTGCAATTCCAATTCCAGGAATATACTCAGGAGAACTGAAAACAGATTCTTAAATACATGTACATATGTGCTCATAGTGGCAGTATTCACAACAGCCAAGACCTAGAAAAACTGTCCAAATGGCCATCCAATTATGAATGGATGAAAAGAGGGCACACACACTCCATGAGATACTACACAGGTATAGAAAGGAATGAAGTCCTGACCCATGCTTCAACGTGGCTGAACTGCAAAACCTTAGGCTAAGCAAAAAAAGCCAGACACAACATTCACATGTATTATTCCATTTATAGGAAATATGGACAATAGATAAATCCGTAGAGACAGAACATAAATTGCTGGTTGCCAGGGGTAAAGGGAGGGACGGATAGGGGGCAGCCGCTTACATAATGGGTCGGGTTTCCTTTTGGAGTAATAAAGATATTCCAGAAGAAGATACAAGGGGGTCAGCAGCCGCTTACTTATTTTGGAGTAATAAAGATATTCCAGAACAAGATACAAGGGGTAGTTGTGCAATGTGGTAAGTCTGCTAAGGCCACTGAATCGTTCACTTTGACATGGTTCGTTTTATGCCATGTGAATTTCACTTCAATTATATTAATTATATCACACAGAATCCCCTCAGCAAACGTGAAGGCTATGTTTCTGAAATGAGTCGTGCTGGACAAAATCAAGCTCTGTAAGACATGAGTTGGTTTGCCTAACCATAATGATGGAGTTCCAACGTTGTTTACACAATGTAAATAAAATGTCATGGAGGGTATCTTCTTCCCAACAAACCAGTCTGATAGCATTGAGAACCTGCATCTCCAAGTAACCATTTCTCCAACTGCCCTGTTGATTAGGAAACACTGTAGAGTAGCTGCGTCATGGGCTGAGAAAAATGATCTCACAGATTCCATGTTCCTATTGTATGCTTCCTTTAAGCGTTTTCAATACATTCTACTGGCTGTGATTTAATATTGTTTACACTCATAAGTATCTGTGTCATTCAGAGATTTATCATGTTGCCTGCGGGCATCATGTTTCAGGCTTCACGATGACATCTAGAGAGGACAGAGTGTACCTGAAATGACATGCAGAGAGGACAGAGTGTACCTGAAATAACATGGAGAGAGGATAGAGTGTACCCGCAAGTGTGTGGTTGCTGCAAGTTGGACATGGTGTTCGTGTTAAATAGTGATTAGTGGTTAACAAAGGCAGACTGACAGGAGGAGGCAGGTGTGGGCTGCGGTTGAGGGAAGCGGACGGTGGCAGGGGCAAAGGGGGGGTGAAAGGCGTGAGAAGCAGTTCGTCTGAATACGTATTTTGAAAGTAGGGTTGACAGAAAAGCAAATGCACATCACTTTGTTATATGTTATTTAATCTTCAGGGAAATCATAAAGTTCACACTGATGTGAAAAGTATAATCAAGCCTTAAACTTGGTATCAAAATGAATGTAGTCATGTAGAAAATGAGCACAACGGCAGTGAAGGTAAAAGAATTTTCAAATAAAATTCTAACCACGGGCAGATATAACTCTTTGAGGTTCTTCTGTTTAGCTTTTTAACTTTTGCATTAAACTCATACGCTCTTTACAATTCTGTCTATAGGAATTCCTCACCGTCCTGCAATAATAACTTAGATATTTGGCCATCGTACTATAAAGGAAGTTTTTAAATATATTTTGTTTAAATGTTTACTTCTCTGTCAATGTTTGGTGAATAAATATTTGCTGTATCATGTGCAACTAGCGACAAGACACCATGAGAAGTTGTTAAAATAATTCAGTATGTTACAGAACCACACAGATCTGGTCATTTAATACATGGTATGGAATGATTTTCATGAAAGATGGCTGTGATTTTTAAGAACAAGTTCTTTCCTTTAAAGAGTGTGTTCCTTTCATGGCTAAATGACTAATCCAATACATTAATATGTATATAACAGTGCAACATTTTGTAGATCTATATTAGCATTGAAGTGATTATTTATCACTACTGATGTTTTTAAAGATTTACAAAAACCTTTGGCATATTTTTATTTCAATAGAAAAAAGTAAGTTAATGGGACTGTAATAATGATTATTGCTAAAATTTGTATCATAGCACAAAATAATATAATATTTAAAGTAAACATGAATATATACTTTTTTTGTTTGAAGAAGGAAAATGTAACTAGAAACATTAATTGTATAAATTATATAGTGTCTCCTAAGGTAGACCATTATTTCTTTCCTATTAGTTTTTTTTTAGGTTTATTTTACTTATTTTGAGAGAAAGAGGGAGGGGAGGAAGAGAGAGAGAGGGAGAGAAGGAGAAAGAATCTCAAGCAGGTTCTGCACCAGTAGCGGGGCTCGAACTCAAGAGCTGTGAGATTATGAGCTGAGCTGAAACCAAGAGTTGGATGCTTAACCAACGGAGCTACCCAGGCGCCCCTATTTTCTATTACTTTCTAAAAGAGTACCTGAAGTATCTGAACCCTTAAAACTTACATAGAACCAGTGGCACTCATTTTCACAATTAGCCCAGAAATTTCAGAGAGGGAAGGGATTAAAATTTCAATTTTCCCACATTTCAAATGGGGAATATATTGGTAACGAATATATTCAATTAATATATTCCTTGAATATTCAAATATATTGGTAATGATCGAGGACAGCCTGCAAATATAATGACAGCAACAGCTCTGAGGTGGCTGAAATAAAATGACCACAGGTAGAAAGCAACGGACCCGGCGTAGTGGACTCTGAATCAAGAATGATCATCAAAGGAGACCGTGCCGTCATCACAGGGATGTTCTGGACACGGGCTGTCCCAGAAGCATCTTGCATTTAAGAAGATGGCTGTCTGAGTTGAGGTGGGGGCCAAGTATCACGAACTGTGGTCAATTTAGACAAGGAGGAGGCTGCGCTGACATCTTTCACACCTTGAAGAACCTCTGTGACCTAGTTAGGTCACACAAAAGCTGAGATGAGAGAAGAAGCAGAGAAACCCTTGCTATGGGAGCAGCTTGGGTGGAGAATTGCTTTGGTAAAGTTGGTGACTCATCAGATGTCACAGCTAGCAGCTGGAAATCCTTCAGCCTCAAGGGAGAAGCAGGTAAACACAGGGATGGAAATCCTTAACAGACAGTAAGGCCTGGGCTTCCTGCTCATGAGGGCAGGTGAAAGGTTCATTCCTGTCTTTTTAAAAAACAGCATTAGGAACATGTAATTCACAGGTAATCAAATTCACCCATTCACAGGGTATGATTCCACGAATTTTTGTTTTATTAATATGTAATTCACATGTGATCAAATTTGTACCATTTCAGGGTACAATTCCATGAATTTTAGTTTATTTGCAGTCGTCTGACCACCAGGACAATCAACTTTAGAATGTGTTCTTCACTGTTAGCATGGTCCACTGTCAGTGACTCCCTATTCTCTCCCACCCCCAGCCCTAGGCAACCACTAGTGTCCTGTTTTTGTCCCTAGAGATTGGCCTATTCTGGACATTTCGTAAAAGTGGAATTACACTATGTGTGGTCCTTTGTGAACAACTTTTTCCACTCAGTATAATGTTTTCAAGGCTCATCCGTGTTGTAGTGGGTGTCAGCGCTACGTTCTCCTTTATTGACAAAGGATTCCAGTGTATGGATGTACATTTGGTTCATCCATTCATCCGTACATGGACATTTGAGTTGCTTCCACATTCTGCTCTTGTAAATAATTCTGTTGTGTATATATTTGTGCAACTTTTTATGTGGATGTATGTTTTCATTTCTTGAGCAGATACGGGTAGAATTATTGGGTTATATGGTGACTCTATGTGTAACATTAGAAGACGACACATTGTGGGGCACCTGGGTGGCTCAGTCGGTTAAGCAGCCGACTTCGGCTCAGGGCATGATCTCACAGTCTGTGAGTTCGAGCTCCGCGTCAGGCCCTGTGCTGACGGCTCGGAGCCTGGAGCCTGTTTCGGATTCTGTGTCTCCCTCTCTCTGACCCTCCCCCGTTCATGCTCTGTCTCTCTCTGTCTCAAAAATCAATAAAAGTAAAAAAAATTTTTTTTTTAAAAAAGAAGACGACACATTGTTTTCCAAAGTATACACTTATTTTACTGCCCCTCCAGGAATATATGAGGACTCAAATCTCCAAGTCCTCAGCCACACTTACCATCTCCTTTCTTTGTCAGTATAGACACTCAAAGGAGGTGAGAAGCAGTGCCTTGTGATTTTCACCTGCATTTCCCTAATGATAGTTGATCGTGACTGAATTTCCATGTGCTTACTGGCCGTTCATGTAGCTTTTTTGGAGAAATGTCTATTCAAATTCCTGTCCATTTTTATTTGGGTTATTTCTTTGTTTACTTTTGAGTTGTAATGGTTCTTTATATACATTCTCTATACGTATGTCCTTTATTATCTGCTTTATTTAAGGGGAACGTGGGTGGCTCAGTCAGTTAAGCATCTGACTTCCACTCAGGTCGATTTCACGGTTCGTGGGTTCCAGCCCCACATCAGGCTCTGTGCTGACAGCTCAGAGCCTTCTTTGGATCCTCTGTCCCCCTCTCTCTCTGACCTCCCCTGCCTTCTCTCTCTCTCTCAAAAATGAATAAACATTTAAAGAAAATATTTTCTCTCAGGCTGAGTGTGGTCTTCACTTTCTTGATCGTGTCCTCTAAATCACGTATTTTCCAAATTTTGATGAAGTCCAACTTATCCATCTTGTCATTTAATCACTTGTACTTTAGTGTCATATCTAAAAAAAAACATTGCCTACAGATTTACTGTATTTTCTTCTAACAGTTATATAAATTTTTTTACCTCTAATATTGAGGTCTATGATCCAGTTGAGCTAATCTTTGCAAATGGCAAGAAGATAAAGACAAAACTTCATTCTTTTGTATGTTGCCCCAAACTTCATTTATTGAAAAGATTATTCTTTCCTGACGGCATTGTTTTGGACTTTTTTTTTGGGGTGGAGGGAACCGATTGGCCATAAATGTTAGGGGTTATTTCTAGACCCTTAACTTTATTCTAGTGATCTGTATCTGCATTTTAAAACAAGTACCACACAGTATTGATTACAGTGAAAAATGTCCCTTGAAAAAGTTTTATTCATTTCAGGATGATTGTAAACTTTAGCTACTTAAGATCTGTACATACCTATTAGAGAAAATTCAAAATACTTAAGTCTTTCCATTTTTTAAATGTAAGTTTACTCATGTGTGAAATCTAAAAGTCTGAGAAATACTGTTTCTAACTGTGTACTAACTCACAGTTGGAATATCCTAGTGGACTTGACATTATAGGTGCTTTTCCCAAGACCAGTGACCACACATGGCTCTCTTGAGTTGGCCTTATGTACAGGATATTTGTGAGACTGAAGCAATGCCTGGGTCATTTGTCAAAAAGTTCACTTTATAACCATGGGCCAACTTTAGGCTTCCATACTTTTAGGGAGTAAAGCAACTCAGGGCCACACAGAAAGAACGAGAGAGGTAGCGAGCATGACTCTTTAATGACCAGCCATAGGGGACAGAAGCAAGCCTACTGTGATCTTGCAGAAGGAAGCCAGTGATCTCTCAAGGGTTCAGTGTTCCTCCTGACTTTCTCCTGGTGATGACTAACATGTCTCTGCTGTGCTCAGAGAGCTGGGTACAGTCACACTGATAGAGACCCCAGGAGGTCTGGCAAGGACACTCAATATTTTGTGTAAGCTGTTTAAGACTATATGTACTTTACTCAAAAACTGAAGGATGGATTTTGGTGGTACTTTAACTTGGAATTTATGCTTTGTCTTACATAATTCTCTTTGAATGAACAATTTAGCGCCACGTTACTCTTTGTAGAAATGCCCTTGTTATTATGAGTAACTGACAACTTTAAAGGGATCTAATTAATCCCAGCCTACAAATAAAATGTTTCCACCTCAGTGGATTTTACCTAGTAAAAATGTTTAAAATAAATAGTCTCCTGGGTAATATTTCTGAATTCAGAATTATCCCCCGCCCCCAGACCTCATTAACATTCACGGGGAACAAAAAGTAAAATAAAACTACAAACAGCTGAAAGTCTCTGATTAGAAGTCTGTTCCCTTGGTACCAATACATTGTTTAATGCTTTTTATTTTAAATAAATTTTGAAATCATTTTTAACTTACGTTTCTGAAAGATTAAAAACTCGCTGGGGATCTCCATTCTCAATGGCATATGTTATTGGGTCTCCCTCTCGATCAGTTGCCTTCAGAGAGAAAACACGACTAAATTATCAAGTGATTGATACCCTCCTAGTCAGTACAGTACAATATAGAAGCTTGAAACCAACATTACAGGATATCCATGAGACTCTTAAAGAATAAAAAATGAGCTGATGGCAGGAGGTAAAATACAGAATTTCATATCTGACCTCAGCATCCTGTCATTTTATCTCATGTGAAAGTAGTAAGAGTGAGTAAGAATAGTATTTTCTTCACACATACGTAATCTTACCTGGCGTGGAAATATAGTAATGACTTTCCTAAGGTTTGTGTACTTAATTTTACCCGAGTGTATCGCTACACTCTGCATAAATGTTTGCAGTGCAGAGAAATTCCTTTTTCTGCTGAGAATATATCGAGTCAGGGAGCTTTGTGGTTAAGAATCTCGAACCTGAAGCCAAAAGCCCGAATTCAAAAGTGGCTCCGCTGACGAGATATGTGATTATTTTTCAATTTCTTCATTTGTAAATGAGAACTGGAACAATACAAAAGTTAATCACTATTGGGAGGTTTAACTGAAATGATTTATGTCTGGGCACACAGACTAACATCTGGTGTGTTGAAAGTTTCCAAAAAATATTACTCTTTTTTTTTTTTTCTTTTTCCCCACCTTCACTCAATTCAGAGAAGAAAAAAACTATAGCTCTGGACTTTGAGTATATCCCTAACCCCAGTCTTTCCTCAGCATTTCAGGCATATCCCCTGCCGACCTGAACACCCAGTTGGATGAGTGACAATCATCCCCAATTTAAAATGTTCAAACCCCCAAATCCTGCTCTCTCCCTCCCTCCTCTGCCCTCAAGAAAACAAGAGCCTACTGTTCTCAGTCTTAGTTATCTCAGTGATCGTGGCGACTGCAACCCCCACCCCCCTTTTTGCTCAGGCCTCATACCTTGACTTTAATTGCTCATTCCTACTCTCCAGGGCACCCCATCAGCAAATCCCACTGGGTCCATCCCCAAACTGTCTGCAGTGTAAATCTGTATCTGATCCCCATCCCCACTACTATCTTCTTCATGGATCCCAGTAATGACCATCTTCCTGGTGGCCCTGATGTTTCCCTTGTACCCTCCCTGCAGTCAAATTTTAATTAAGCAAAGTGATCACTTTTTTCAGACCTACGTTTTATTTCTTTTGAGTAACACTATTACATTATTACAGATACACAATAAAACACAATGGAATAAAATAGTAAGATACAATGAAATAATAAACTACCTAGGGTAATATCTTTGAAACATTCCATATATGTCTAAATCTAAACTTTTAATTTAAAATCTAAAATTGATTATAATAGAAATCTGAGAGTAGAGAGCAAGAAAAAAAATATCGTTTTTAAACAGGCTCAATGGAATGGATCACAGATGCTTGATATTTTCATCATTTCTTGTTCTTTGCCAGGCAAGTATTAGCCAAAAAAGGTAAAACAGAACCACAAATAATGACACAGTCAACTTTTGAAGAAACACAGAAGTATGCTATATTGGTGAGATAGGGAGACCACAGGAGTCCATAAACATCTGCTTTTTACTCATTTTCCAGCTTCCTTTCTAAGACCGACCCTCACCTTATTCACGTCTTGTACTATATCCTTGCAAGGTACAAGGAGTTAATGATTTCTTTGGAGTCTTCCAGTATAACAGAAACATCTAAGGAGTGACTGGACAAGAACGGCTGATTGAGGCCATGCTAGGGAAATTTCAGAACCCCCATGTTAGACACCTCAACGCCGAGAATCTTGGCTTCAGGGAATCAGTCAGCTATGGAGGACACCTGGACGTTTTTTCTTTGTCTGACTGGTTAGGGGAAGTGTACATCAGACCACGATCCTCAGTAAAAACCCCAGATTCTGAATAAAGAGGAGACTCTCTCCTTTCCTTTCCGAGTCTCCCCGACATTCTATCCATACCTGGTCTCTCTGGACCTTCAATAAAGTGCGCCCTCGCCTCCTGCTGGCTCATGTTTCACTTCTGTCCTATGCACATCAGGGACCCTCCTGGCTGGCTGGTCCCGTGAGACCCACTCAGCGTCCTCGGACCTGGGCTGCCTACATCATTAAGAGACTGCATTTTACCACTAAAAAGTGCACACTGAACTTTTTCTGTTGTTTTTCTCTTTCAATCAGTCATTTAAAAAAAAATTTAATGTTCATTCATTTTGAGAAACAGAGAGAGACAGAGTGCAATTAGGGGAGGGGCACAGAGAGAGGGAGACACAGAAGCAGGTCCCAGGCTCTGAGCTGTCAGTACAGAGCCCTATGTAGGGCTCGAACCCGTGAACTGGGAGATCATGACCTGAGTCAAAATCGGACTCTCAACCGACTGAGCCACCCAGGCGCCCCTCAATCAGTCATTTTTACCTGTCATATAGTTATAATCAATTTCTTTTTATTTGTTCATTGGCATGTGGTTGTTGTTTTCTGAGAGACAATTTATTGTTTGTATTTTCAATGAGCCAGAAGTAATGGATTCTGAAACAAGATAGATTTGTGTGGATACAGTTAAGTTCAGATTAATGTTAGCCTTTCTTCTAATGTATCGGGTCTACTCTAACACTTAACATTATCGCTGTGGGATGAGAGCGTGGTGAATGTTGCATCATTTTATTTATGTAAGTCATTATATTGTTATGTTACTAAAATAATAACAAAGAGAAATTCCTAAAGAACTTCCCATTTTTTCATCCACATTAATTACTTTCTATTCCCGAGGTACCTTGAAATATTTCTTCCAGTTTTGTTTGGCCCTTTAAATACCTCAGACTTTAAGAAATGTGAGAGCCAGTACTTTGCCTATGTCATACTTTTTAAAAAGATTTGTTTGTTGGTTGGTTTATTTTTAAGTAAGTTCCATGCCTTGCATGGAGTGCAACACAAGGCCTGAACTCAGATCAAGACCTGAGCTGAGATCAAGACCTGAGCTGAGATAAAGAGTCGGATGCCCAACCGACTGAACTACCCAGGCACCTCACCTACTTCATTCTTTTTTTCTACTTAATTTTTTTTAAGTTTCTTTATTTATTTTGAGAGAGGGAGAGAGCACGAGCAGGGGAGGGGCACAGAGAGGGAGAGAGAGAATCCCACGCAGGCTCCATGGATGCAGGACTTGATCCACAAACCATGAGACCATTCATGACCTGAGCTGAAACCAAGAGTCAGAAGCTTAACCAGCTGAGCCACCCAGGTGCCCCCAACTACCTCATTCTTATATGAGGTTGTGCCCACACTAGAAAGCTTGAAGACCCAGGATTTGGAAGGAAATCCTTATCCGATTGTTTTGTTTCTTTTATTCTTTTAGCCAATCCTCTGTGGTTGTTTTAGGACCCGTGGCCAGTGGCGTAGTAATTAGGGAGGATTTATAATTTCTCAGTCAAGGAAGCAAGGGGGAAGTGTGTTATCTGGACGAGAGCTCTGAAATCTAACCACTACAAGTGTCAGCACTTGTGTAAATACTCTGTATCTCCTTCTGTCAGTATTTAGGGAAAGACATGCTTTAAAGGAAGAAACAGGACATAAAAGGTAAACATGGAAAAGTCAGAAAAAGCAATGATCCTTGTTGTAATAAGATTTGACCATATGCATATTTATGACCTAAAATACCTTTCTGAAAACATTTTATACATAGTCCTTTTTTTTTTTTTTTTCTATATGTGAGTCTAGCCAGCTGTCTCTGGATGATGGGCAGAAATTCAAATATGGTTTTGAACAGCGAATACTTAAGTTAACACTGATTGACTTCTTACTTTGTGCTGGGAACGATCTTTGCATGCATCATCTCATTTAAACCTCACACTAACCATGTAGGTGAAAGAGAAAGACCAAGGGCTTTGTTACCACTCCAATTAGAGTTCCCTGTAACTTACTTCATTGGAAGATACATCTGTTTTGTTTTTGTTTTTTTTTTTTAACATGGAAATTAATAGTTACCATTTCATCTGAAAAACAGAGAAGGCATGGGGCTCCTGGGTGGCTCAGTCGGATAAACTTCTGACTCCTGATTTTGGCTCAGGTCATGATCTCATGGTTCAGGGGATCAAGCCCCACTCCTGGCTCTGCACTGACAGTGTGGAGCCTGCTTGGGATTCCCTCCCTCCCTCTCTCTCCCTCTCTTCCCCTTTCCTGCTCTCTCTTTCTCTCAAAATAAATAAATAAACTTAATTTTTTTTTAAGGGAGAGGTTAGTGTCACTTAAGACACTAGACAGAACAGAAGGGAATTTCTCATCCTTTGTACACATACATTTTCTATGACTTTATTTTTGATGAGCCGAGTCCAATGTGAGCTTCTCACACAAGGTCTTGGCGGGGAGTGGTCATCTCCCTGGGGGGTTATCCCAGCATGAACTGGGAAGGTTCCGGAACCACCCCCCTCACTCACAGCCCTGGAGCCACCTCCGCTCAGACAGGACGCCTGACTATAAGAGGAAGCTAACAAGAATAACGCATACGGAATACACTCATTGATGCACCAAATATTCATTAACCGTCTGTGCTGTGTGAATAAGCACTGAGGCTCCAATGAGACAAAATTCCGGGAGCCACACAGACAAGGATTCTTCCTTCGTGCAACTTGTACTGTAAGGGGGGGCGCCAGAGACCAAGCAGAATAATTAATGAAAATATACAGCTTTCAGATCTGTGTAAGTGCAGCTGTAATATATTTTGGGAAGGACATACAGGGAGGGGAGGAGGCAGGCTTGCCATCATGCACGGGTCATCAGGAAAATGTGAAAAGTTGGCAGACGCTTGTGAAAGGGGAGACAGCAAGTCATGTGGGGAAGGGAAATCTCGCACAGGGCACGGCCAAGGAAAAGGCAGTGACATGGGGACGTGCCTCATGAATTTGAGGAACGGCGAGCAAATGGAAAACCAGCTAATGTTTTGTGTGGCCTCAGGTAAACAACCCGAGGTTAAATATCCTTGGTTACATGATTGAGCGATGCGCACTTTGGATAGCTAGCACATCATGGAATTCAGTCACTGGTTTT